CGACGAAGGGTCTGCCGCATCATGGAGTGGGGAAGCCTTAAGCGTTTTCGAAGGGAATCGAGCCGGAGGTTTCGGAGGAGCTCTGGCGGTGTCGGCAAGGTCCCGTGTCTCATGTACAACAGAAACAACAAGCACATTTTTCGACAACTCGGCTTTTTATGGGGGCGGTGCCGTTTTGGTTAAAATGGACTCGAGCTTGTCGTTCGGCGGCAACACGTCCTTCGAAAGCAACCGCGCGCTGGGTGACCTAAACACAGAGGTAGGTTGGGGCGGTGCGCTTCTTGTACAAGATGGCTCGAATGCCTCTTCTAGCGGACAAGTGAAGTTTACCGGAAACAGCGCCCGAGACGGAGGCGCACTGTACGTGTTTCACGGCAGCGTCGGGTGGAGCGGGGAGACAGTACTAGCAGAAAACGATGCGTCGGATTCAGGAGGTGCTGTGTTCTCCCTTTTTTCAGCCGTGTCATGGTTCGGGGATACGAAGATGTTCAATAATTCGGCGGTATTGGGGGGGGCTCTCTTTCTTTCATCCTCGGTCGCTACGTGGGATGGGAATACGACCATGACTGAAAACAGAGTCACCGGCGTTTCAGCAGCAGGTGGTATCATTTGTGCAGTCTTAGCTTCCACGATTCACTGGAGTGGAGGTTTGACAAGGTTCATCGGGAGTTCCTCGAGCCTTGCCGGAGGCGCACTCTATGTCAGCGGCAGTGAAGTCACCTGGAGCGGTGGGACAGAGTTCTCTGGAAATTCTGCTCTTCACGGCGGCGCCATTTTCATGATGAATGGAACTTCGGTTGGCTGGACCGAGCATGCCGAATTCACGTCGAACAGGGCACTCACCTTAGGAGGTGCGGTGATGTCGCCGTCCTACGACTCAACCTACAACCCCCTAGAATCAAGCCTGGCTATCAACGGCACAACGACCTTCTTCAACAACACATGCGGAGAAAATGGGGGTGGTCTGGCCCTGCTCGGTGCATTTTCTCTAGATATCAACACGGCGGACGTTAGCTTCACCGAGAATTCGGCCGGGGTTGCCGGCGGGGCTGTTTTTGTGTCTGGGGCAGGGATCGGCCCCACGTTTTCAGACGTGAGCTTCATCTCCAACTTCGCCCAGGTTGGGGGCGCCGCCTCTGTGTTTGGCTCCGGGAACGATAGAGGTATCTTGAGTCCCGTAGTTCCAACAAAGTTCAACCGATGCCGCTTCATCGACAACGTGGCGACAGCATCCGGCGGAGCTGTCGACAGCGCAGCTGGGCAAGACATTGTAGTCAACTCCGTTTTCAAGGGGAACTCGGCGGAGGTTGGGGGCGCGCTTAGACTGGCAGGCAGTGCATTTGTGGAAAATTGCTCTTTTGTCGAGAACGTTTCAGGCCACCAAGAGGGGGCCGCGGTGTCTAACATCGGGCTCGTGTCCACGATGGCAAATTCCTCCTTCACCGGCAACGGCTTCACCTGTGGACCAGACCTGTTCCTGGAATTCGACACGGTGAGTAGTGGCTGCATTGGATCTGGAGGCCAAGCTACGTAACAGCACGCTCGCTTGGGGTTTCGATACACTACTTGTGCATGTTCATGATGGAGGCATGATGATGTTTTCCGCTCAAGGTCGAAAAACATTATTCGAATATAGGTCGCGAACAAGTTTACTCGGAAGCAACAGGAAGGTTGGTCCCGAAGGTTGGTCCCGAAGACATGTCTTATACAAGTGAGGATAGTCTTTCACAAGGTAGTCCGACGAGAGGCGGTGCACACCCTACTCACGTGGCCTTCGGAACACTTGCAGGCCTGGGGTGAGGGAGGCAGCAGCTGTAGCATGAATTTGGGGAGCCATGACGTGCATCTCCGCTTTCCTCAGCCGTCTCCAATTGCTTATTCCACAGTCCCAAGCGCATGTTTTCGCAACTCGGTGCTTGCCTCCCAATGTTTCGGCTTGCTGTTTCGCAGTCCGGTGATGGTACCTTCGAGGCTGTCTGCGATGGATGTCGAGTTGCGTGCGACGGATGCTCCTTTGATGAACAACCTGCAGTCCCAACTTGCTCGGATGTGATGGACCATAGCACAAGCCCGGGTGGCAACGTTACCCTGGAAACACTGTTGATCGACCCCGGGTACTGGAGGGCTACGTCATCCAGCAAAAAAATTCTTCCTTGCTACAACGCTGACGCTTGCCTAGGAGGAGTGACTGGCACTGCAGGATACTGCCTTGAGAGCTATGAAGGACCATGTGAGCGCTGTGCTGGTTGTGTGTGCCGCTTTGAGAACTCTGACAACGAGGTTGCAAGTACCCCGACCTTGCCTCGAGGTGTGCCCTAACGCCAACGTCAGTTTCCATACAGATTGACCAACACTCGGACCATTCTTTTGTTCTGTTGGTGCCCATCAATATCACTACACACGCGTAGTGCTGCAAGATTCACGATCTCGTTACTGAAGTGCGACATGCTACCATCCCCCGTGTTTGCCAAATCAAACAGATTGCTCCATCTGCAGCAATGGTTACGCATCGAACCTGGGCTATTCGTGCAGCAAGTGCTTCAGTCGCTCTGGCGGCATCGCGTTCGCTGTTGGATTGGCCGTTGTGGCGGTGTTTGTTGCCGTTGTTGTGATCAGGTACATCATGTCTGGGGAGGCAGGGGAGCGGAGAATCTACGTGTTCGAGCGCTTGGGGTGGTACGTTCCGCTGCAATCTGTGAAAATCGTCATCGTCTCGTGGCAAATTGTGACACAGGTATGAAGTTTTGCAGACATCGATTTTGGGTGGGAACGGGATGATTGATTCACTACAATAGATGATCCTTCATGAATCCATTTCGCCTTCCGATTTGTGCCGAGAGCTGAAAATCGGGAATAGGTTCCTATGACTCCCTGAGACATGACACGCCCAGCTGCTTGCCCGCGTGTACCTCATGGCCCGTTCCAATACTGCTGTAGTTTGCTTCTGCGGCGAACGTCGTCTACCCGGGTGTGTACCAGCAGTTCATAGACGGCCTGAAGGTGTTTGGCTTCGACCTGGGATGGTTGCTGTCTGTCGGATGTGTCTTGGACATGGACTTCCATGGTCGACTGCTCGCAGCTACGATCGGCCCGATCTTCGCCGTTCTTCTCTTAGCTGGAACCTACGCCGCTGCGACCCGTATCAATCGCGAGGCCAATGAGAAGCTGCGGATAATCTGGGACAAGCACGTGTTTGTGTTCCTGCTGCTGACGTTTCTGGTATACTCAAGTGTAAGCTCCACCTTGTTCAAAACGTTTGCGTGTGACGAGCTCGAGGACGGCAACTACTTGCGTACAGACTACCGCATCGAATGCGACTCCAGCAAGCATAAGGTTTTCCAAGTGTACGCAGGTTTCATGATCCTGTTGTACCCCCTAGGCATTCCCGTGTTGTATAGCATTCTGTTGTTTCGGGATCGTGAGGTGTTGAAAAAGGACAAAGCCGACCGAAACGACAGTGCTCGTGTCAAGTCGACCTCCGAGCTGTGGCAACCGTACAAGCCGTCGGTGTTCTACTACGAGGTCATCGAATGCGGCCGACGCGTATTACTCACTGGGATAATCGTGTTCATTTACCCCAACACCGCAGCCCAGCTTGCAATCACGCTGATGATGGCCTTCTTTTTCGCATTGCTTTCAGAAGCGGTGTCTCCGTACTCGTCTAGGTGGGAGACCTGGGTCAATCGTATGGGCCATGTGGTGGTAGCTGTTAGTGTGTATGTTGCCCTCTTGCTGAAGGTTGACGTATCCGACGAGCGAGCTGACAGCCAGAGCGTGTTTGAAGCGGTTCTTGTTACCGTCCACGCGTGCATGATACTTTCGGTTGTTGTAGAGACCTTTGTTGTGGCAGGATTGTGGAGGCAGAAACTGCGAGAGGATGTGCCAGCCAGATTTCGTCGCGGGAAATTTCTGTTTCGCGGGGGCGTATGGCAGTTCTAGGCAAAAGGCTACTAGACTTGTCCGTAAAAACAAGTCTATTTCTCAGCACGTGTATACTACGCCGGGGATCGCGCGCCAACGACGTAGTCAAGAATGATTGGTCCACCTGCATGCATCGGGTTTTGTTGTGCGCAAGTCGTACCAGTTTGGGAGTTTGATGGGGAGTTGCCCGAATAGTGGACGACCATTTGTAGGTCGTACATGAGTTGGTCAGAGTAAGTCGGCTACGCCACACAGTATTGTTCCAATCTATGTTCGGTAGTTCAACGTGCGGCTTGACACTAGGCTGGTGCATCTTGCTGTGTATTGATGATTGTCAAACGTACTGTTGTTGCCCACACGTGGAAACCTTTGTCCAGGGAATGGGTGCAGGCAACGGCGTCTTGACGTACTAGTTTTGTTGGTCCTGAGACTGCTTAAATAAATGTTGCTCTTCGGTTTCCCCGGCCATCCTACATGTTTTATACCGCCCATTGCATTTTTTTTAATATGTTTTGCATGGCGTCGACCGCTCCAACTTTCACAAAGACATAACCCCAACAGTGTAATTCCTGAGCAATGGCCAGTTTCGTCGGGGTGCCAGAAAACGGCGCGTCCCTCTATCGTCCAGGGCGCGTTTAGGGTTGCAAGCAACGACAGGAAGCTTGATTGTTGGAAAAGGTTTCGGAGGCATTCAAGTATACCAACTCCCGTATGCAGAATTGGTGCAGCCCTCATCGTTTGGTATGGTGCTTGGAATTGGCCGAGTGACAGCACTACGGAGTTAGTTGTGGACGTTCGTTGCCATCGGCCTGCAGATTGTGAGAGTTGCCCCGATCAAACATGATCTGATGGGTGGTCGTGATCTGCGTGCTAGATACAGCGTGCTCTAATGGAAGATACGATCAGAGAAGTGCAATCTAAACCACATCGGTCAGACGTATTCCACACAGCGTCAGCACGGAATGCAGTATACAACACATGTGGCAAGGTATGACAGGGAGGACAAAGAAACGAGCTTTGTGGTGAAAATAACCATATTTTGGAAGATGTCATCACAACGAGCTACATTTAACACGACCAAACAAGGTGCAAAACACTACGTATGCTGTTAAAATTACTATCGGTTCTTCCATGCATCTCGCTCCCTTACCCCACATCACCATCTAAAACGATCCGAAAGTAACCTCTGCCGCCGGCACAAATCAAACAACACAAAAAAAGCGGCAAGGGATTTTCAAACGTCTGATCCGGTGTTGACAAGCCCATTCGACACAGCAAATATCTACACAGTGCCATGGGCGTATGCGGCACACCACTGCCTTGCAACATCTCGTGGCAACGGTTCTTCATGGAACCAATCTCAATAGCTGCGCCTTGCTGGCGACACAAACGGCGAGTCCCATCAGCACAAGGACAGTGCCCGACACCGTTCGAAGTGGATGGTCCATCGTCTCCCCTAGCGCCATGGCGGTGGCGGCGGTGAAGACGAGCGACAGCGCGTTGCACACAGGCACGGCTGTAGACATGTCTGGGGAAAAGGCGCCCCGGACGGCGTCAAGGATGAACGTTTCAATGGTCAACTAGGGACGGAGACATCAACCGCATGTGGAACACGAGGGGTTTACCTGACGAATGCCTCAAATCTCAACAATAAAGCAATTGGGCGGTTGTGCGACTCAGAGTGCAACCCACATGAACAAAAGGAAGCGATATTATCGGGTTGCGTCGTCACATGACGGTTAGCTGTCTCAGCCGGCAGTAGCAATCAATCTTTCACGTCAAAGCCTCACAGACGAGTCGCGGGCAGTGCCCCCCGATGTGCCTCAGTCTTCAATCTACCGTTCCCTCGTGGAGGAGTGAAATCTGTACCTTGGGAGCTGAGAAGATAGTAGAAAAGCGTGGACCCGGACTGATTGAGCAAGAAGGGTATCGCGGCCTTCACCGAAGCCAGACTTCGAAGGGGGCCGAAGAGCTTCCCGAGTCGATTGTTCTCCTTGGTCGTCGGCTGTTGCTGAGTGTCGGGCTCCAATTTGCTTGAGGTCCCTGCATGTATACGAAACCATACTATCCAGCTGGTGTTATCTCCCGCTGAAGTAAAACCGTTGTATAGGGCCGTTCTTGATATTGCCTATTGCGACGAATGTACAACATTTTCGCGGGGGTTACTTAGGATGTGCCACAGAGTGCGCCTCTCGTTCGCATCCCCCGGTGGGTGTCATTCGACCCAATATTGGCAACCGCAACCCTTCAAACCGACTGCACCAGATATCCCGACGTGTGCAGCACTTACCAAAGAGCGCTTACAGCGTAGGTGGTGAGGTCTAATTGTTTACGGACGGCACTGCTGTTTATGTTCCCCAAACGGTCAGGCAAGAAGTAGGCTTCAGTAGGTGTCCCGATATAGTGCCGGTACGTGCCCAGGCGATTTGACCAATACCGGGCACCGGCACTATTCGGTATTGTGCCTGAATAGTGCCAAGCCGGCACAATTCAGGGCCTGAAAATCCCTCTATAGTGCCGGCTTGGCACTATTCAGGACTGTTCGACTTCAGAGTGCAGCTCTTGCGCTTTGCGGGGCTGACAGAGTACCAAACGAACGGTATTTGGATCAAACGTGAGGTGGGTGACGTGGGCGGGCTTCATTAAGTTTCGTGAGGCTCATGGACTGTCGAAAACACGGCATGGTCACGTTAAAATAAGCTTGATTGACCAGAGAGATTCGTTGCACAGCAGTTGTTCTCTTCCCACCTCAGCGCAAGCACTCGCCAATGAAACGTTGCTGCTGCCTTTCAACTGTAGACTGTGCTGCCCGATAAAAGTTCACCCCGCTATCAAAATATTATGTGTTGTATTGCAAGAAGGCCGTAGCACTATTCAGGCAACCTCAAAGGCACCCCTCGACAGCAAAAGAAATACACTCATGCACGCACCCGATGTACATTTGGAGGTAGAACACGGATGGATGTAGTGCTCCTTAGATGAGCACACGGAAGCAGATGCAACCTAAAAAACGGGTCAAGAATAAAACGAACACTCCTGTTCCTTCGATAAAAAGCTAGAGACAAGACCAAGCCTTCAAAAGCAAGAAAAACGACTGGTCAACCAAAAGGCGTCTGTCTCAGTGGGGTCAAAAACAGAAAATATTTGTTTCCCAAGGTCGTGGAGGGTGTCATGGAGGAGGCTGAGCTTTTCTCTGGATAAAAGACAGAAATGATAGCAACAGAGAGAGAACTACGTGGCTGCCAAGGCTTAAAGTTTTTTTAACACGCGTTCGTTTCGGAGTGCTTTCATCCTTCCTTAGAAGTATTGTATTTACCACCACTACTACTACACTCTTCACTAAATTATATTTTTCCACTATTTTCGGGCATTCATTTCTAGATTCTGCGCTCCTGCGGCGTTTGTTGTGAGGAAGGTCATCTCGCTCGAAACTCTTGTTGTTCCCCTCAACGCCATATTTTCCTCCTGCATCATTACTGCTATCATTGGCTATATTTTCCTTATCCTTCGTCACTACAGCACCACCATCTTCCTTTTCGCTCGCCTCACTACTGAAACCCCAGCCTTATGGTGGAACCTGGTCGATCGGTAAACCGTGACATTTGAAGACGTCACGCGTACCGAGAGAAACCGAGCTGTACTTGTAGCTCGAAGCGAAACCGTCTCCGAATCCTGCTGGCGTGGAAGGATTGAGGCTAAAAAAGGCTGTGTGGGATGTGAACCGGCACTATTGACGGATTCGATACAGATGGCGCCCGCACTTAAGAACCTCTAGTTTCGGCCGAGGCTGAGGTTCTTATTTTGGTGATCATCCTCTTGTGGGCTACAAATGGCCGCTATATAGGTTTTAGGGTTGGGTTCTTAACCGAGCTCACAAATGGTGCTCAAGTTCTTAGCTTCTGATTTTTTGCAAGTCTCAATTTCTTAACTGCTAGAGTTCTAAGTGCGGGCGCTATCTGTAGTGCCTGAACCGACACCATAGCGGGCAGCCCTGAATAGTGCCGGTTTGGCACTATTCAGGCCTGTGTCTGTGTCGAGAAATTTTACTGGCACCATATCGGACGTTGGCACTAGCCAACCGGCACTATATCGGAACACCTAGACTAGTCTACTGCTGTACTGCTGTACAAGCGGGGGGCCATCAAAAACGCCGTTATTCCAAACGAATGCATCGAGACTTGAGGCTGACAACTATTATAGATTTCGCTTTGGTGATACGCGTATCCGCATCGCCACCTTAACCTCACCGTCTTTAATGAAAGGAGTGGTGCACCCCCAACACGCTCCCACGGCGACGAAGCTCAAGGCTGTTGAGAGTGGCATCTCGTTGCTCTGCTGACGATGTTCTGGGGCAATCCGCCCCGCCGGTGTCCTCTGTGAAGCCTTCTTGAAACAGGAAGCGTTTCCGCAATCCTCACTGCCTATTTCTCCTCGAGATTCTGTGCAAACCGTGCCAACAACCTTGCCTTGGTCAACACGCCAGTGCCGACACGTTCAACGGCAACGGTGCTCTCAACTGGAGATTGTCTGGAGAGTACCTGCGAAGAGCAGTCAACCTGATTGCTTGTAGTCTAGCTATGCTAATAGTATAGTCAGCCGCTACTGCTGTGCTGAATACTACGGCAGGGGATGTGGGGGGAAGGAATGGAAATCACTGTATTGACTGATGGGTATCGCACATCAATATGCTGGTCTGTGTGAGGCAAAAAGGTGCTAGCGGTTCCAAGAGCAGGAGAAAGGGCCATCCTCTCGGATAGACAATGGAGGCGTGCAGGCCGCGGCGAAACAAGGGGCGGAACTGCTGTGGGAACGAACCGAAATATTTTATGGAAACCCCGGGAATTGCTTGCTTACTTCCTATAGGGCTAAATACATGACATCCTCTCTAACGCCATGTGCAATATTTCTACAGCAGTCTACAGTCTACAAGCCGGTGTGCCACCCCGTCCGTGGTGCGGGTATGAAAGTCAGAACGTCGTGCGGTTTGCGTCCGTTATCGCTAGCCGTAACGACGCTCTTCCGTGGACCTTCCGCTCTGGGATACAATGGTAAGATAATACCAAGCGCGACCAACCGCTTGCTCTCTGTTCCGCAAGAATCGGCAGCTGCTACCACAACGCTGCCAGGACTCCATGGTAGCAGAGGTGGGCTGTTCACACTTTCCCGTTTTGAGAGATGGAAGTGGTTCCCTTCTTGTGTGGCACACACAACGGGTGTACGAGTATGGCTTGTGCGGCGGAAATCTGCACAACACATCATAATGGTCTGCTGCCAGACCTCTCTCGTGCGCGCACATGCCAAGGATTTTCTCATGTAACCTTTGCTCTACTTGCCGGCCGTTATTGTAGGTGCTCTTGATCATGCACGATCCTTGTAGAAATGTGATCTTGCGAGAAGGGTCTGCGCATTGAGGCCCCGTTTTGAACGTTAAACAATGGCGCAATGGCACCCCTGTAACACCCGCATTTGGCGGTGAGTTGGGGGTGGGGGAGGTGGCCGAAAGATTGTGATTGGTCAACACTTGGCGTCGCATCTGGAAGGGGCAACGATACTCCCATGGTGGGGTAGTCCGATAGGGGATATGCCCTCCCAGTTCTTGCCGCGCCGACTCCCTTGAAAACTCGCCCTTGTCTTCTGCGGAGGTGCCTCTGTAAATACAAGTAACTGTTAGGGAGGACCCGATTCGCAGGGTACCGAAGGATGCGGGTCTTGGCACGGATCGGCTACATGATATAGGCTGGAATCTTGGCACAGGGGGGGG